ATGCTTGACGTTAGTATAAACTTATTCAGCAAAATAATACAATAAGTTTTATCACCGCACTCTTTAACCGTTGGCTCCGACGGGACCGACACTAATCTTTCCGTTTGGTCGGCGTCGATCCTAGGGCCTAACATTGCATTATGACATGGATCACCTTTTTATTATGAACGTAAACATTTCATTGCTGATCATCAGATATACGATTGTATATTGTCAGTTTATATATATTATAGACACAAGAAATTATTCATTATTTTTCAAGAAAGAAGAAATCATGATTCATATTTTTTAAGTTTTCCTTAATCTTGTATGTATATGTATATGTATTTTGTATATTAAATGTTGATATAATTGTCTAGACATCGATGAGAAAGTGAAATAATTTTTTAAAATAATTTTTTTTATTTTGCTATTACAGAAGCATATAAACATCAAAATACGTATTTTTTAGAATTAATTTTCTTTATTTTACTATTACAGAGAGATGATACAAGTTTATTGGCTCAATTCTTTTACGCCGACGAATCTCTGAATGCAGTCGCCTGCGAATTGGACTCCTTCGATGGCCGACAAGAACCAGAGAGATGCACGACATTGGTGAATCAATTACGGCACTGTCAGGATAAAGTGTTGACAATTTGCAATCAAATAATGGATGACCTGATCCCCGAAAATCGAGCCAATCGGGATTTTAGAGTGAAATTTCCTGATGACGTGATGCAGGAAAATCTGGCTGGACAACTTTGGTTCGGCGCAGAATGTTTGGCAGCTGGTTCTTCGATTATGAATCGAGAAGCCGAGAGCTCGGCCATGAGGCCGTTAGCAAAAGCTCTTACTAAATCGCTGGAGATTGTTAGAAATTTGCTGAGAGAGCACGCCCTCAAAGGTCATATGAATTTAAAGGTATTAAATGTATCGGTAAAATTTTGTTAATTCAGAATATGACTTCTTATAATTTTAATATTTATATTTTGGAGCTCTGTACAATAGATAAATAAAAGAAAAAGATTTTCTATACTCTGATAATTTTTTAAAATGAAAATTGATCTTATTTAATTTTTTGTGTATCGTATGAAATTTACGATTTGCGAATAAAGATATATAATAGCGTTTACTTTTCAGGCGCAAAATCCTCTCGATCCATCTTTGGAAAAGCTTATCGAATCATTGAAGATCTTCGATCGATTGTTCGCCGATTTTGAACTATGCTATGTTGGCGCTATGGTACCAGTAAAATCGACAAAGGAATACGAGCAACAGGAGCTTGTGTGTGTATTATTTTCTGAGACTTTACAGCGAGCGCTTGAACGTGGACTGTTGAACCAGGCAGACGTAGATAATTATGAACCGGCTTTAATGTTCACTATTCCTCGTTTGGCTATTGTTTCGGGACTTCTGGCACCGTCTGGAGGACCATTGTGTCTCAATTCTCCTGATACTATAAGCGAGATGTTTAGACCATTTAGAGTAAGAAATTAATTATTATTAATTATTATTAATTATAGTCTAACAAAATATTTTGTTTAAAAGCTTCGTATGCTATGAATAATATTTTAAGCATATACAGAAAGAGAGATTTATAGCTTTTTTTATTTACATATAACATAATGATTTATCTTTAGCTAAATATCAATAGCTAAATATCAGTTTCTTTTCACCTGACTGAAACATTTAATTTTCAGACTCTTCTTCTCAAGATAAGAGAGCTGTTGTGGACATTGAATAACTATGAGTTATATATGTTAGAAAAATTATTATGTTCAAACGAAGAACCATCAGGTTCAATCACGCAGTCAACGAAGTCAGTATGTCAGGACATACCGGATTTGGAAGAATATGTTCATAATTTTTATACTGGTTATCCAAATTGCAAAGAATTTATTATTGATTTTTATACTGTGACAAGAAATATGGGTAATAACATGGATGAAGTAGCGAATGACGCAATTCAGTTGTTGGACGAAGGTAATAGAAATGATCAGTTACCGATTAAAAATGAAGACAGAGATGGATGTAAAAAGAAGGGAAACAATGTGGGAATTGAAAGCGAAGATTTAAATATAATCTCGGACGGATATGATAGTAACGTAATACATGACAACAGTGAAAAAATGCAACAAAATGATGGGGAAAGTATTGAATGTATACAATGTGAACAAAAGTTATATAATGCTTCATGTGACATTAGACAGTTTCTTCACGACTGTGATTCTAATGACGGGAACAACACCAGCGAGAGTTCTGACTTGATGATACAGAACGTTACAACATTAGATGTCGTAGCGGGAACCAGTGTTTTAAATACTGAAGACATATGGAATGAGGAAAGCTTCATTCCTGATTTAAGTCTAATATTTGAGGAATGCTCTGAAAACATAGAGATTTTACAGACTCAGTATTTACTTAATCAAATTGTTCGCGAAAATACTGTTGATGATGACATTGCGCACATATCGGAAAATACTTTACCCGATTTAGACTCCAAGAAACTTATTTCGGAAGCAAATAAAACACTTTCAAATCTTTTACTAGACTCTAGTGAATGCCAGAATGAGATGTCAGAACAAACGGATTCTGGTATATGTACAGTAATATCGTCCGAAAATACCAGTTTGTATGATAAAAGTCCAGAAGAAAAAAAAACTTTTGCTAATGAGATTCAAGAGGGATGCAGCGTATCGGATGAAGAAGATACACAAGAAAACACTAGCTACTCTTGCTCTAATATAAACTCACCGAAGAGAAAAGATACTGCCATTTCAGCGAATTCATGTATTTGCGGTACAAAGAATAGCAAGTTGTCTATTTTGGATCATTCCATCGAAGTATCTGATTTATACTCAAACGGAGACAGAGAATCTGTTGGAAAAAACATTGTACAAATTTCGTCGAACTTTGATGGGACTAATGAAGAATTCATCGGCATTGCATATGGTAACGGTCAATTGACTCTCTGTGATTCTAATCAATCCTCCTTTCAAATAAATTACTCTGAAAATTGGGAAAATCTAAATTTAAATATAGACGCATCGAGTTCCAAGAATGAGTTTTGGAGTGACTTGAAATATGAGAATTGCCCATCTACTTCTCGAAGTATCGAAAAAATGGATAATAAGATTGGAAAATACACACAGAATAAAACCATGATGAAAAAAATAAGAAATGAGAAGCAACGACGGCGATATCAACACAAACTGAGTCGAAACACGCACAAAGCTCACGATAAATCGATAGAGAAAAGATTGCATGTTATGCGGTCGACTACAAGTACCGAGAGTTCCAGATCGAATTCCATAGATCGATGTTTAAATACTCGATTAACTGGCTTTGGCGCTAGCTTACATCTTGGCCAAAGTATTAGACAAATGCCGAATTTCAGTAGTCGCAGTCCTCACATAAGTCCACGACTTCATCACTTTCAACAATGTTGTTGCAATCTTGATACACATTGCATAAATTCTTGTCGACATTCATCGCAAAGCAAAAAATTACTGGATCACAGAAGATCCAAGTATGAGCAGATCGCCAGAATGAAAAAAAGAGATGTCGAGAAGAAGAAAAGATATGATCGAGATAAATATGTGCGTTTAGAACATAGTAAAAAAAAATCTGGAAATAGAAGTAATCTAATGAATGACGGATTGGGACCGAGAACAGATAAGAGTGGTTTGGTGACTGAAGTCGCAACTATGCCGCAAAATGTAGTTTATCATGAATATCAAAATTTGAAAGACAATAATACACATAAATCTGTACGAGCGATGAGATTAGTGAACGCATCGACAGTATCCGGCATATCGTATTTTAATTCCCGTCAATCTTTAAATTATAAATCCGATATAACGTCGAATTCTAGTTGTTCAAGTTGTTGTGATTCAAGTTCAGAGACCAGCGAGTTTCATAGCGATTGTCAAGACGATGAGGAAATCGCATTGGCTATGCAAGCTGCTGAAATTGCAAACAGAAATCAGATCAGAGCCAAATTTCGGTAAGAGAATATATTGCTATTTTATTTGCACTATTGTATATGTTTTTGCATTTATAAGATATTATCACATCAGATATTATCAGTAATAGTAGATCTATTTTCAAGATATTTAACAAAAAAACATAATATTTTTTATATTTATAAAATAAAAAATTTAGCTATTTATTTATATAATTTTATAAACGTCGATTTAACATTTTCCTAATTATTAACTACTCGCTTCCTGTTAAAAGTCAATTGATTAATTATTATAGACTGCATTAGAAGAAGTATAAATAGCCGATAAAATCATCATGATTTTCTGCGTGTACGACTTTTGTTATGCCAATTAAAAAAAAAGATTACCTCATGATGATTTTTTTTAAATGAAACAGATATTTTCCATTCGATGCAGGATACGAATGTCTTTCTTATGTGTATACTTAAAATTTTAATCAGTTTATAATATAATATTAATTTTGTAATTTAATTATGTTTATGTTTCTTATACAATGTTTATAACTTGATAATTTGAACATTTTATTTAAAATTACGTTTTTATTGTTATCATTTACATGTTGGATTATATGTCAATTATAACTATAGAAAAAAGATGTAATTTTGAAAGTAATGCAATGCTATATTATATTATTATAAATATGTATGTTTATTTATAAAATTACATTTGTATAAAATTATATTATGTATAATATTAAATTATGAATTTAATAATGTAATATAAGCTAATTATAATTAGTTTAAAATATAAAAAAAATGTTAATCTCATTTTTGAATCACTTTTGGAGTTTTTTGTCATAAAAATGTGCCCATGGTTGAAGCTCTTTTATGATTAATGTAATTATGTTTTAAATTAATTTATTAACATATTTTAAAGACATATGTTTGTTAAATATGCTTGCACGCACGCACTCACGCACGCACGCACGCACGCACGCACGCACGCACGCACGCACGCACGCACGCACGCACGCACGCACGCACGCACGCACGCACGCACGCACGCACGCACGCG